CGCGAGACGTGTGTTGTGGTGTGCGCCTAGGTTCAACGCTCTCGCCCTACCCGCCCACCCAGTCTATGACCTTTGTCGGGTTTAGGGTTTTTTTCAAGGTTTGTGGCTTGGTCTGGCGGTGGCCCAAAATCAGGGCAAGCAGGGCAGAGGCAGGGCGGGGCAGGGCAGGGCAGGGCAGGGCAGTGCAGGGCAGGGCAGGGGCAGGGCAGGGCAGAGCAGGCAGCTCAGGGCAGAGCACAGGCAGGAAAGGGAGGGTTTTTTGTCAAGGTTTGGGCGGTGGCCCAAAATCAGGGCAAGCAGCAGGCCAAAGCAGAGAAGGGCAGGGAAGGGTAGGGAAGGGCAGGCAGGGCAAGCAGGGCAGCCAGGCGGTCAAGACCAGGACCAGGCAGGGCAGGGCCAGGGAGGGCCAGGGCCAGGGCCAGGCAGGGCAGGCAGGGCAGGCCTAGGCCAGGCAGGCGCTGGGCCAGGGGCAAGACCAGGCCCAGGACCAGGACTAGGCGGGCCAGGCCCAGGGCCAGGGCCAGGGCAGGGAGAGGGACACCAACCTCCGAGGTTGGAGGGTTAGGGTCATATTGTTCTGATTGGCTAGCATGCCTGTCGCATGCGCCAGCACCTGAGCCGGTGCTGGGGCTCCTTCGCTGCGCCTGTCGCGCCAGCTCCGGAGCCAGCCTCACTGACGCTTCGGCACGCTCGCTGCTGCTCTTCGCAGCGCCCGCAGCTCGCGTCTTTAGGGTTTAGGGTTTTAGGTTTTGGGGTTTATGGTTTAGGTTTAGGTTTATTGGGTTTAAGGGTGTCGGGTTTAGGGTAGGGTTTAGGTTTAGGGTTGAGGTTTGGGTTGAGGGTTAGGGTGGGGTTTGAGTTGAGGTTGAGGTTAGGTTGAGGTTGAGGGTTTTGGTTTTGTTTTGGGTTTGGGTTTGGGTTTGGTTTTGGTTTTTGGGTTTTGGGTTTTGGGGGTTTTAGGGTTTAGGGTTTAAGGTTTTGGGTTTAGGGTTTTGGGTTTAGGGTTTAGGGTTTAGGGTTTAGGGTTTAGGGTTTAGGGTTTAGGGTTTAGGGTTTAGGGTTCGCCAGCGCAGTTTTTGGACTGCGCAAGGCGCCCTAGGCACTTTTGCCGGAGCGAAGCGTTACATAGTTCAGCTTCCTTTAAGGGGGCTGCTTCTTGGCCCGTAAAAAAATGCTAAATTCGGGTTTCTGGTTTTAGTGTTTGCGGTCTGGAAACTGGGGGCTTGGGGGGCTGGAATTTGGGATTTGGGGTCTCGGATTCGCAGCCTGGGGTCTGGTAGATTTGGACTGGGTCTGGATTTGGGGTCTGGAGCCTGGATTTGGGCCCTGGGGCTTGGATCTGGGGCCTGGATTTGGTGTCTGGGGTCTGGAGCCTGGCTTTGGGTCCTCGGCCTGGATTTGGGACTGACCTGGATTTGGGACTTGGGGCCTGGATTTCGGATTTGGGACTAGGCCTGGATTTGGGGTCTGGAGCCTGGATTTGGGGCCTGGGGCCTGGATTTGTTGGGACTGGTCTGGCGCCTGGATTTGGGGCCTGAGGCCTGGATTTGGGACTGGGCTTGGATTTGGGGTCTGGAGCCTGGATTTGGTGACTGGCCTGGTTTTGGGATTGGGTCTGGATTTGGGGTTTGGCGTGGATTTGGGGTCTGGGGCCTGGATTTAGGGCCTGGGGCCTGGATTTGGGACTGGGCCTGGACTTGGGGTCTGGAGCCTGGATTTGGGGCTGGATTTGGGACTGGAGCTGGGTTTGGGGCCTGGGGCTTGGATTTGGGACTAGGTCTGGGTTTGGGGTCTGGAAAAGCCCAAAAGCTCAATTGGGGAGCTTGGAAGGGGGTCTAGAAAAAGTAAAGAACCCAATGTGGTGGCTTGGAGGGGGTGCCCCAGATCCCCAATTCCAGCCCCCTAAAATCCAGTTTTCCAGGCCCCAAATCCCAGGGGCCTGGATTTGGGGCCTGGATTTGGTGTCTGGGGCTGGATCCTGGTGCCTGGATTTGGCGTGGATTTGGGGTCTGGAGCCTGGATTTAGGTGGGGCCTGGATTTGGGACTGGGCCTGGACTTGGGGTCTGGAGCCTGGATTTGGGGCTGGATTTGGGACTGGAGCTGGGTTTGGGGAGGTCTGGATTTGGGGTCTGGAAAAGCCCAAAAGCTCAATTGGGGAGCTTGGAAGGGGGTCTAGAAAAAGTAAAGAACCCAATGTGGTGGCTTGGAGGGGGCCCCAGATCCCCAATTCCAGCCCCCTAAATCCAGTTTTCCAGGCCCCAAATCCCAGGGGCCTGGATTTGGGGCCTGGATTTGGTATCTGGGGTCTGGAGCCTGGCTTTGGGTCCTCGGCCTGGATTTGGGACTGACCTGGATTTGGGATTTGTTTGGTGCCTGAGATTCGGATTTGGGACTAGGCCTGGATTTGGGGTCTGGTCTGGGGCCTGGATTTGTGGATTTGGGGCCTGGGGCCTTGAGACTGGTCTGGGGCCTGGATTTGGGGCCTGAGGCCTGGATTTGGGAGTGGGCCTTGGGACTGGGCTTGGATTTGGGGTGTGGAGCCTGGATTTGGTGACTGGCCTGGTTTTCGGATTCGGTCTGTTTGGTGTTTGGAGCTTGGGGCCTGGATTTGGGACTGGGCCTGGATTTGATTTGGGGCCTGGTGCCTGGACTAGGCCTGGATTTGGGTCTGGTTGGGATTGGACCCGGATTTGGGGCCTGGAGCCTGGATTTGGGGCCTGGATTTGAGGTGGGGACTGGCCTGGATTTCAAACTGCGCCTGGATTTGGGGTCTGGAGCCCAGATTTCGGGCCTGGCTGGATTGGGACTGGGGTCTGGGGCCGGGATTTGGGGCCTGGGGCCTGGATTTGGGGCCTGGGTTTGGGGGCCTGGATTTGGGGCTTGGATTTGGGGCCTGGGGCCTGGATTTGGACTGGGCCTGGAGCTTGGGGCCGGGATTTGGGTCTGGGCCTGGATCGGTGGGGTCCTTCATTTGGGACTGTGCTTGGATTTGGGGTCTGGAGCCTGGCGCCTGGATTTGGGACTGTGCCTGGATTTGGGGCTGGATTTGGGGCCTGGGGCCTGGATTTGTTTGGTGCCTGGCCTGGATTTGGGCCTGGGGCCTGGATTTGGTGCGTGGATTTGGCGTGGATTTGGGGTCTGTGGATTTAGGGCCTGGGGCCTGGATTTGGGACTGGGCCTGGATTTGGGTCTGGAGCCTGGATTTGGGGCCTGGATTTGGGACTGGAGCTGATTTGGGGTCTGGAGCCTGGGTTTGGGGCTTGGGGCTTGGATTTGGGACTAGGTCTGGATTTGGGGTTTGGAAAAGCACCAAAAGCTCAATTGGGGAGCTTGGAAGGGGGTCTAGAAAAAGTAAAAAACCCAATGTGGTGGCTTGGAGGGGGTGCCCCAGATCCCCAATTCCAGCCCCCTAAACCCCAAACCCCGATTCCAGGTTTTCAGGCCCCAAATCCCAGGTCCCAAATTTTTTGCCAACCAAGCCCAAAATTTACCATTCCAGGCTCCACCAGACGCCCTCCAAGCCCCCCAATTGGGTTTCTTGTGCTTTTCCACACCCTCTCCAAGCCCTGAAATTATTTCAAACCCCCTCCAAAACCAGCAAATGTGTTTTTTTGCTTTTTCCCGACCCCCTCCAAGGCCCCAATTTGGGTTTTTAGCATTCTCCAGACCGACTCCAAACCCGCAAATTGTGCTTTTTGACCTTTTCCAAGCTCCCTCCAAGCCCCCAAATTGGGCTTTTTGGCCCTTTCCAAACTCCCTCCACGCCCCCAAGGTTGTTTTTTTTTGCCTTTTCCAGACCCTCTTCCAAGCCCCCAAATTGAGATTTTTTTGCGTTTTAGCGCTGAATGTAGGGCGAGGCCGTCCTAAATCTAGGGCTAACGGTTTAAGGCCGCCCTAAATCTAGGGTTAGCGGTTTAGGGCTAAATCTAGGGCGATCAGGTTAGGGCCGCCTTAAATCTAGGGCTAACGGTTTAGGGCCGCCCTAAATCTAGGGTTAGCGGTTTAGGGCTAAATCCAGGGCGAACGGTTTAGCCCACGAAGATTGATGAAGTGCCCACGAAGATTGATGATGTGCCCACGAAGATTGATGAAGTGCCCACGAAGATTGATGAAGTGACCACGAAGATTGATGAAGTGATCAGCTCTAAACCTAGGGCTAACGGTTTAGGGCCGCCTTAAATCTAGGGCTAACGGTTTAGGACCGCCCTAAATCTAGCGCTAACGGTTTAGGGTGATCATGACGTCCAAAACCCCGTCACACTTCATGAACGCCGAAGCCACATGGAACATGTTTGAAACTCTGCTGACGAAAGCATTTGCGAAGCAGCGGGACAAATACCATCTGTGGGGGCGGTGCGGGCTTCTCCTGGCGGACGCCTTTGGAGGAAATCACGCGGCTGCTTTCGCGCTTCTACGCAAGAAGTGGTCGGAGGTGAACAGCGTCATGCTGCCACAAGTTCAACCAGGTGGTTGGAGTGCTCATGGCCAGCCACAGGCGCCCCCCTCCCTCTCCCTCTCCCTCTCCATCTCCCTCTCCCTCCCCCTCTCTGCAGTTGCGCCAACAGTGCCCGCATCCCCCTGCGAGGACCAGATTCATGGATTCTTCAAGGACATGTGTGACCAGTCAGTGAGGGGCAGCCTCAAGTTCAGCAAGAACTTGTTCTGCAGGCTGCCGTACTTCAAGCTTCTCGCCTCGTTGTGGGGCTTGGCACCTGCTTTGGTTTGCACGTTTGAGAGGGCCTTGGGGCAAATACCTTATACATAGGTTTGGGGTGGAGTGGGCTTCTCGTTGTCAACGTATGGGGCGCCGACTCCTGGCGCAATGTCCCAATTGTTGCCTAAAAAAAAGGTGTCATCCTAGCAAGGCCAGGTATATATATATATATATATATACACCCTATGTATATAGGCCGCCTGTTAAGTGCAGTCTTGCATCTCAAACTTGCTCGCTGTCTTTGGGCCTTCTACTTCTACATGCAGCCGGCCAGTGTTATCCAAGGTTGGAGATCAACTGCACAGGGCAGGTGCGACGGGAGGCAGATTGCAAGAGTGCGATCCGATCTGGGATCAAGAACTGGCAGCTGATTCCTGCAGCCATGGTCCAGAACGCTTGGGTGAAGACCGGTTACGCGACCTGGGATGAAATCGAAGCGGTGACCACAGGCAATCGAGAGATGGCTCGTGCGATGCAACAGCAGGAAGATCCGCACGGTTTTGCTGATGTCCTGGGGAAGGAGGGCGCTGCTGCTCCGACAGCTGAGGAAGTCCATGCCAGACTGGTGCATGAAAAGGCGGTTGTGTGGCAGGTGAAATGCCCTGCGGACGAGAACTGGAGCTACCTGCCCCAGGCACGAGTCATGTCACTGCTGGCGCAAAGTCAAGCCAGTCGCAGTCACAGTTTCTTTCCTTTTGTTGCTCCATGACAGGCACTGGTGCTGATCGTCGAGAAGCAGCTGTGCCTGTACTTGCACCAGCGTGCCATTGCTAAGCCAGGGCAGCCGGTGCAGCACATGTGTTCAGTGGTGTGGTCTCTCCGAGCCAGGAATGAAATGCGCCATGATTGGGTCGCCAAATACACCGACCTTGTGGACGGCAAGCGAGTCCTCTCCGAGAAATGCAAGCGGCCTTCACTCTACTCGTTATTTCACGTCGATCTTCTCAATCTCCTTCTCTTCATTGGCAGCGAGCAGGTCGGTCGAAAGCTGGCGTATTCCCTAGTCCCGGCTTCCGATGTGAGCAGCGCATCCGATGTTGAATGGCTGTCTGTGCAAAAAATCCATGAGATCTTCGCCAAACAGAGTGCCACTACTGGCGCAACCGGTCGCTCCGGCCAGAAGGTGGCGAACGTCGAGGGCGACCCGGCTCAGGACAACGAAGGCAACCACGAGGATGACGAGGCTCGTGGGTTGCATGTGTTTTTTTCTTCTCAGGCGGTGTCCTTGCATATACACATACAGTCACCTTTCGTGTGCAGGAGTCCGAGAATGAGAATGGCAAGGACGACGATCAGGAACCGGACGAGTTTCAAAACATGATGGTTGCTTACGAAGGCGATCAGGCTTTGCACGGCGACGGCCAACCAGTGCGACGTCTCGTGGTCGATTCCAAAAGGCACAAGTACTTCGTCCTGCGTGAGGACGACACGGTCCTGGCAGAGACTGACACTGAGCACGACCAGCCTCCAGAGGAAGTTGGTGATGCTGACATGTGGGTCGAAGGAGCTGCGCCCTTGGTCAACCTCCGTATCGCGGGCTCGCATGTCCCGGAGCCTGAGCCCGATGTGACCCGTTTTGTTACAAAGAGCGGCAAGTACACAACTCCAGGCTTGGAACGGCTGCGGAATCTACTTCCTCCCAGAGACAAATGCAGAGTGCAGCAGCGGGCTCCGGATGGGGTAGTGCAGGCATGGTTTCCTGGAGTACCAAGCAAGACATTCAGGTTTTCAGAAGCCAGTGTCTGGACGAACGAGACTCTTCCCGCGATCATCGTGGATGCTGCTCTCCGCAATGCCATCGAATGGCTGTGGGTGCAGTTTGGACATGAGGTTGGGGCGGAGAGAGCCCAGGAGATGTTCAGGGCTGTGAAAGCCCGCGTGGATGCGATGGAAGGCGGCTCTGCTTGACGAATGCCAGGTTGAATGGGATATCTATCGCTGCTCTGGTGCGGTGTGGGTGCGCTGAGCCGCGACAGTGGCTTCCAGTCACTAAGCGATGCTTCCATGCGTTGTGGGTACGTAGGGTCAGTGTTCGAGTCGAGTCAATTTGGCGGCACATGCTTGCCTTCAATGCTTTGGTGTACAGCTTGGGTTTTGCTGCACCTACGCCTGGTTTGAAGCCGTGGTGTCCAAATCAAGTACTTTATGCACGGTTTTGTGCTCACGAGCAGCCTGCTTTGGCTGCGTGTTTTGAGTTAGTTCGCTGCATCTGGACTCAAAGCTCGGACATGCAGCTACGCATCACTCCGTCCAGAACAATATATATATATATATATATCAATCAATATATATATATATATATATATTCTACAGTGGAACTCCTTACATAGAGCGGGGGAGGATAGCTGTGTTGCATGTGTGCTTGTACAGCGAGCGTCCAGATGGTTCAGGGGAACTAAATATGACCCGAAGTCATGCTGTCACCGTCGTCGACTCCTGGCGCAAGACAAAGAAGATTCCGTGTCACTGCATCCGCCGGCGAGGGGTTTCTCTCGTATACATTGGGTTGAAAGCTGAAAGCATCCAGGTTGCATAAGGTCTTACTCAGACTCAGAGCATGTTAGAATGTTAGATCTTGGCGCAAATCGTAAGTGGGCAGCTCCGCAGTGTTTGTTTTTTCCGTCGTTTCGTTTCTACCTCAAAATGCCTTCATGGGGTATCCAGACCCCAATTTCCGAATTGTATTCCCCCGAAATAAATGTCCATCTTTTTGCTCCTCGTGCACCCCTTTTCCCCTTTCGTAGGTCGTGAGCTGCGGCTCGGGCAGGAGGTGGTGAGTTGTTTTCTTTTGGGTGCCCTTCGTGACAAAACGTTCTCTCGTTCTTCGTTTCTCCTTTCAAAATTTCTTCTCGCCCCTGCATTTTGAGCCTGACGGGGCCGAGGCGCGGCTGGGCCGCAAAAGCTTTGTGCCAGTTGTAGATATCCATCGGTTGACAGCTTAGACTAAGGAGGTCTTCAAGTGGTATTCCGGGCTCTAGGGTTTACCCTCTCACCCTTTCTGTCACGTTTCAGGCTCTCCCCCGCCCTTTCGGCCGTTACCCTGCCACTCCTGGCGCAATCGAATCCGTGGATTGCCCAGGTCCTCTTGCTCTTTGTCAAGAGGCCCGCTGCGGGGGGCAGGCATCGACGGTTGCCTTGAGCACGATGCAAGGTTTACGTTTTGAGGGTTGCGCTTGGGTTATATGGGGTGTGGGGCAGGAGCCGGGAGCAGCGGTGTTACCGTGCCAGCTTGACCACCTAGTTCCATTCGACCCGTAGTGAAATTGAGAATCTTCCCGCCATGCTCCAGGCCCTGACTCTGGGCGCAATCATCTGGGACTCTGCCTGGGCCAGAAGAAAAAACTGGAGTGCGACTCATCGTTGCTTTGCAAGGTTCAGTCGTTACAGGTTGATTAAAGTCCCGTGTATCTACCGGGCGTCCGTTTGAGGAACCTTCATGCTCGGTAGTGGTTGATGAGGCAAGAGCTTTCCCACCGCAAAAGGGCCCGATTCCCGGTTGCCAAATAAGGCTAGTCAGGGGAGTTGGCATGCATCTGTAGCTGGAAACAGTGCGCCAGTTGTGAAGGCATGTATTTTGCGAGATTTCGCATCTGTTGCGCCAGTTGCGATTCCCCGGGATGCGTTTTTTGGGGGTGTTGCGCCAGTTGTGCTGGCGGCACGGCGCGTTTTCTGCAACCTTGGAGGTTGCATGGTTTCTTGGTGTTTTGGACCCCGTACTGGCGCTTCTGCGGTAATGCTCCAGTTGCGGAAGACCCAAGTGCTAGAAACCGCCAGTTGTGAAGGAAAATTAATGTATCCGACTTGCGCCAAGAGCGGCAAGATCAGTATAGGCAGAGCTTACCGGATGGCCTAGGCAGAGCCTAGGGGATGGCCTCAGCAGAGCTTAGGGGCTGCAGAAGGGTCTGCAGCCCCAAAGCTCTGCCTAGGCTATCCCCCAGGCTCTGCCGAAGCCATCCCCGAGGCTCTGTCGGCCGTCCACTACACTCTGCCTAGGCCATCCGCTAGGCTCTGCCTAGGCTCTGCCGAGGCTATCCCCTAGTTCTGGATTGGCCATGCGCAAAGCTCTGCCCAGGCTCTGTCTAGGCCATCCCTTAGGCTCTGTCGGCCATCCGCTAGGCTCTGCCCAGGCCATCCGCTGAGCCTCTGCAGCCCGTAAGCTCTGCCTTGGCTATCCCAGCCCCCAGGCTCTGCCTAGGCCAGCCCCCAGGCTCCGGCCAGGCCATATCTAGGCTTCCGAAGCCATCCCCTTGGCTCCTGTCTGGGCCATCCCCTAAGCTCTGCCTAGGCCAGGCCCCAGGCCCGCTAGGCTCTGCCTAGGCCATCCCTTAGGCTCTGTTGCCATCCCCTTGGCTCTGTCTGGGCTCTGCCTAGGCCAGGCCCGCACTGTAGACTCTACCTACACCTTCCGCTAGGCTCTGCCCTGAGCATCCCCTACCCTCTGCCCCTAATCTCTGCCTTGGCTATAGGCCAGCCCCAGGCTCCACTAGGCCATCCGCTAGGCTTTGTCTAGGGCTCTGGCCAGCTCTGCCTAGGCAATCTCCCAGGCTCTGCTTAGGCTATCCCCTAGGCTCTGTCGGCCACCCACTACACTCTGCCTAGGCCATGTGCTAGGCTCTGCCTGGGCTTAAAGGTCTGCCTAGGCCATGCGCTAGGCTCTGCCAGGCTCTGCCTAGGCCAGCCCCCAGGCTCCGGCCATCCGTGCCTAAGTCATCCACTAGGCTTTGCCTAGGCGCCTAGACCATAAAATTGGCTCTTCCCCTAACCTCTGCCGAGGTTCTGCCTCGGCCATGCGCTGGGCTCTGCCCAGGCCATCCCTAGGCTTTGCCGAGGCCATCCCCTTGGCTCTGTCTGGGCTCTGCCTAGGCCAGGCCCCAGGCCATCCTAGACTCTCCCTACACCTTCCGCTAGGCTCTGCCCTGACCATCCCCTACCCTCTGCCTAGGCCAAGGCTCTGCCTAGGCCAACCCTTAGGCTCTGTTGCCATCCCCTTGGCTCTGTCTGGGCTCTGCTTAGGCCAGGCCCCAGGCCATCCCTCAGGCTCTGTCGATCACACCTTCCGCTAGGCTCTGCCCTGACCATCCCCTACCCTCTGCCTGAGCCATCCGCTAAGGCTCTGCAGCCCCTAAGCTCTGCCTTGGCTATAGGCCAGCCCTAGGCCATCCGCTAGGCTATCCCCTAAGGTCTTAGGGGAAGAGCCTATTTTATGGTCTAGGCGCCTAGCGGATGGCTTAGGCTGGGGGCTGGCCTAGGCAGAGCCTGGGGGCTGGGGATAGCCAAGGCAGAGCTTAGGGGCTGCAGAGCCTTAGCGGATGGCTCAGGCAGAGGGTAGGGGATGGTCAGGGCAGAGCCTAGCGCATAACCTAAACAAAGCCTAGCGGATGGCCGACAGAGCCTAAGGGATTGCCTAGCTTAGGGGCTGGCCTGGGGCCTGGCCTAGGCAGAGGCTGGGGAGGAGGTTGGGAGTGGGTTGGGAGGAGGTTAGGAGGGCTGGGAGGAGGTTGGGAGTGGGTTGGGTTGGGGGAGTGGGTTGGGAGTGGGTTGGGAGGAGGTGGTAGTGGGTTTGGAGGAGGGCTGGGAAGTGGGTTGGAGAATGTTGAGTGGGTTGTCGGAGTGGGTTGGGAGGAGGTTGGGAGTGGGTTGGGAGGAGGTTGGGAGGAGGCTGTGGAGTCCGCCGTCATCTCTTTAACCTTGCCGTCTCTGGATCTCGACATCCTTGTCCTGGTCCCCGTTGGGAGTGGGTTGGGAGGAGTGGGAGTGGGTTGGGAGGAGGTTGGGAGTGGGTTGGGAGGAGGTTGGGAGTGGGTTGGGAGTTGGGAGTGGGTTGGGAGGAGGTTGGGGAGTGGGTTGGGAGGAGGTTGGGAGTGGGTTGGGAGGAGGTTAGGAGGGCTGGGAGGAGGTTGGGAGTGGGTTGGGAGGAGGTTTGGGAGTGGTTGGAAAGCAGTCATCGTGGACGCATTCGAAAATGCTTCGAATTTTCCAAAAAAAAACGTTTTTGCGACATGCCGCAGACGAGCCTCGCGACATGTAAGGAGTAAGGCGAGGCCCTGACGGAAGGAGTGGCTTGGAATTAAGCTCTCGGGCCGAGCCGGCGGCCTTGCTAGATCCCAACAACGCGCGCGCGCGCAAAGGTGTTTGGCAGCCTTGTTGGTCAAGACCTGTGGACCCGGAACACACATATGAGCCTTGGTGTTTCCTTTCACGGTAATTGTTCCAACATCGAGAAAGGTTTGCGGCTAGGCTATTAGGGGCAAAGCTTTTCTAATAGTAGACAAGCCGTAGGGTCTCGTAAGAGCCGTGACGTTTCTTTCACGGTAATTCTTCCATCATCGAGAAAGGTTTGCGGCTAGGCGGTTGGGAGCAAAGCTTCTCTAATAGTAGATAAGTAGTAGGGTCTCGTAAGAGCCTTGGGGTTCCCTTTCACGGTAATCGTTCCATCATCGAGAAAGATTTGCGGCTAGGCTGTTGGGAGCAAAGCTTCTATAATAGTAGATAAGTCGTACGGGCTCGTAAATGCCAGAACCTTAAATCCAAAGCCCTTATTATTCCAAGACCTCAGATCCGAGACCTAAGAGACCCAAAACCGAATAATGTACATTGACAGCAGCTTGTTAAACAGTGCAGCCACTAGTCTCAAGGATAGAGGTGCAGGTCTTCACGCAGCACTATGGACGGCCCCGCAACAGGCCGGTAGTGCAGAACCACGAATGGAAAATGATTTTGCACCGTTTATGTTCACAATCACGATTATGACAAGGATGGTGGTACATCGTCATGGTCCATAGCGAGTTCGGGCCTCCCATCCCCATCTACCTGATGCACAACGCAACCGTGGAAGAGTTGAAGTGTCTTTGGGCACGCAAGACCTGGCTGCAGGGGACCGGTCAAATTTTCGTGGAGGTGGGACGCTTGCGCTTGTTCAAGGCGGGGAAATGTTCAGAAGACGTCAGAATATTTGGAAAGCAAGAACATGTTTCTTAGAGCTTGAGATATTGCTGTCGAGGAGCAAGTTCTTCTACCAGTGCTGAGAGATCAGCGTACGATCATGGTGCGTATCAGACATAATCGAGGACTCGGACCAGGTTTCACTGTCAGCCGGCTATAGACTGACACGGCAAATGCAGAGCTTGAAAAACAGAGATCCTTGTCTGTAATCTGCAATGCAGTCTCGCACCTGTCTTTTTGTGAACTGCCATGGCTTTCCTTTCACGGTAATTGTCCCATCATCGAGTAAGGTTTCACATGCCATCCATCGACTCATAGTCGGCCATCTAAGTTCCAGCCTCTAAATTTCAGAACAGCAATTTCCGAACTCACCCGAATGCTCGCGCTTGGTAATCTCTTTTCACAAAGCTTTGGCCCAAAGTTTCTCTAGCTTTCCCATTGCTCCTGTCTTGCAAGCGCTTGCAGCATGGCTGATGGTGCAGCTAGACCGCAACTTAATATCATCATAGTGTATCATTTATATAGATTGTTGCCACATACGTACCCGAACAACTCAGGTCTCTACTGCGGAGTCCCGTAACGGGCGTGTGTATCCAGCGCTTTGGCTACATAAAATAAAGTTCTTCACAGTGGTTCTCATTCGCTACTGAACCGAGGTCGGGCGAGTTTACTGGACCCACAGCCCGGACAGATTGCAGATTTTCCTAAACGCATGTCTCCGCTTCCAATGGATAGAGGCACGTGGGCAAGGAGGTGCAAGGGAGCTTTGAAGACTGCGCACATAAACATAAACCTCTTGGCACAGGGTCCCAATCACGAATGGCGATGCTTCAGCATCGATGATCTGGCTTGGGACCATGAGATGGAGCGGTGGCTATACAATTGGGACGAAGGCGCCTCAGCTGCACTAGACTGTAGTAGACTGCTCTAGGTAGAATTGTTTTGCCTTTCGATTTATTAAGCTGAGGGCTCCCACCTCATCGTGCTGGTTACCCCCTGCCATTGAAGGCTGTCTCTCGGCTGCATTTAATAAAATGTGAAACGTGCGTATTTGTCTTCTACTGACTTTCCAAGGTTGCACAAGAGAGGGCGGCGAGACAAGCTCATGAGCCCGAGGCGGAGCCCGATCCTGTCACTTGGCACAAGTAGCACAGTACATCAGTATCATCAAATCCTAAAAGTGGTACATCCCTCATCCCGACCCAGGAAAAGGAAGCCTTCCTCGACGAGGAAATCTGGGTATGTCACTGATCAGCAAGTAAAAGTGAAAAAAACACGAACATCTGTTGCCTCATTTGCCCGGGGCATGCGCTCAGGCTAGATACCGGCAGCGCTGCCGGTCTGGACCTCGCCAGCACAGAAAAAAAACCGGAGGGCTCGAACTTCATAGGACCTATGGGGGCTGAGGAACTATAAAAAAGTTTGTTCTACCTATATATATACACCCTCCACTTCCGCGCACCCGTTTAACTGGTGGGTTGTAGATTCGGCAGTTTATTGCGTGGCCTCTGAGATGCTTGAGATTTCGGCCAGATTCGTAGTGCCCGAATGGATCCAGGCAGGTCGCACAATGAACACATGTACTTCCAACATAAAGATATAGGAGATTGATGAAAGGACACAGCAGCTCTTTGTGCGCCAAACGAAGTCATGTCGTAATGAACTTGTGACATCATGCCTCTTGCAGCGCTCCTGCTGCTCGCGTGGGTACGCTTCTCAGAGAGGTGATCAAACAACGCTCGGTTGAAGATCTGTGGTGCTGGTGTGAGGTCTCTGCGATGCCTCATACCTACCTTTGGAAAGCCTTCTCAACTCGCTTGAAGCTGAAATCTTGATTTGTGTGTGTTCAGCGAATTTCTTCAAACCAGTTCCCGCAAATATTCCTGTCCAGCTTCCCCAGGTCTGGAGGAAATCGGTGAACTGGACAGAGGTGCGTCCGTCCACCACTTCGCATGGGAGGGCTTGCAATCATCAGCTGTGAAAGCTTCAGATTCAAATCGTTGTGCGACCTGCTGGCCATCAAGGTACTAGGACCTGCTAGGTCTGGAAGCATCATATAGCAGTTTTTTTCCTCATGCGCCATGCCCGACAGCAAACCAAATCCGGCACGAGTTGCGCTGCACTATTGCAGGACACGGGGATACCTTGTCGGTTCTTGCATTTTTGAGCTCTGCGGCTGGATGCCACAAACTGATCAATTGAGACAGGAATTTCTGAAAGACCTCCTGATGCCGGGTTACGTGAACGAACGGATTGAAGCGCTGAAGCGAAGGTTGACAAAGGTTTCCAAAAAGGAAGATCCTGAGGCATGGAGACTCTGAAGCAAACCTTTCGAGCCACTAGCAACGTTATGGTTTCCGCAGGCGAAGTTCCGCTTCCGATTCCTCGATGTGGAACAGAAGGCGATCTCCGAAGCGCAGGCTACACTCAGTATTGATTCAGATGATCTCGAGGTTCCTCGGTTTTCTTGACCTCCGGTCCAGGTTTGCAGCTACCACAATTATCCCATCATCTTGAATTATTGTGCGACGTTCGCTGGCGAGTTGCCAACCAAGAAGGAAACGGAGGCCTGTGAACCTTGCCACATATGTTTTTCATTATGTGAGTTTCCTTGAAAGGCTGCGATAGCCTGGAGCAGTTCTCACTTCCGCCTCCATGACACACCATTGCCGAAAGATGAGTTGGAAGTCGCAACTTGAGAATCCTTTTTGAAACAAATCATAAGGCCTTTTTTCAATCGTGCAATCCCAGGAATGGGCTGAGGAAGAAGCTGGAGTTCTTCGGTCCTACGCCTCCTGGGCCTGCGACCGTTCTTGGTGCAACCGGAACACCAGGCGACTCTCTACATGTAATATCCAGATATGATAGATGTTCTACTTCTGCCGACCAGGAAAGGCCCCAACCATGAGAAGTTCGCCAAGCTGAAGGAAGTTATCCAAGCGAAGAAAGAGGACCCCCTCGAAGTTATGCTAGCAGCATGTCAATCAAAATCATTCCGCAGGAGCTCACGAAACAGAAGAGCGAAGATGCAGACATGGAGGTCGCCGGGGGATCAGTTCGTTTTTCTTCTGGTTGAAACGAAACGGTTTAGGGTGCTGGATTTGCTATTTGGCTTCTTGGAAAATACAGTTTGGGCCCCACCTGTTGGAACCTACACAGATCCTGTTAATTATGTTTCCAGTCATCCCTGTCCCTTAATTAAATTACTAAGAAGATAAGAAATCGAAGTCATAAGGGTAGTAGTTTCAAGCAGGAGCGAATCTGCAGGTTGAGGGTGCGAGTTGGTTTGCGAATGGACGAACGGTTCCTGGCTCTCGGCATGCGGCTGACTCATTGATTGGACTGAAAGCATGGCTGCTAGTGACGTTAGCGAATGTCATTCACTCATGTTGAGCTGCTGCTGACATGAGTGCCGCATGCTTGCTCCGGTAGTGACTGATCACAGCTTCAGAGGCAGCCCCAGCAGCAGGTCGTAAGCTAAATTGCAGCTAGCAGCTAAATTTATATGATTCGTCTTTCCTTGGCAGGCAGCACCTTGAATTGCGATCGATGGTCCATAGGCCAGAGCTGAGTGATTGGGTGTTTCGACATTCGACGTACTTTTGATTCTCTTTGGACTCTGGACCTTTGTGGGGGAGAAGTCAGGGAGCCAGGGAGTTAGGGAGCGATGAGTGACGGAAGCCTCTTTAAGCCTCTTTAAGCCTTTAAGACTTTAAGACTTTAAGATCTTAAGTCAGCCTTAAGCCTTCAGCTTAAGCCTTAAGTCTTAAGCCAAGCTTTAAGCCTTTAAGCCTTTAAGCCTTTAAGCCTTTAAGCCTTTAAGCCTTTAAGCCTTGAGCCTTAAGCCTTAAGCTTAGCCCGGGTCCTATGAGGGCTGTTGATGTGGTCCACACAGATGTTCATAAGTCATAACCTACTGCAGAAGTACGTATGACATGTTCCCTCCTGCGTCCGTTGTTCCATCAGATGCCAACGTCTTTCATATCGCTGGCTTTGGCTTAGGTCACAGTCACAGCATGCACATAAGACATGGTCATCGGCAGTCATCGGCTTTCAATGTGCAGTGTCAAGACAGGCTACAGCTTGAAACTTCTGAAGGCTGTAGATTTGTAGATCTGTAAGAAAAGAAGTGACATCGCCGTGCGAGGGTTGATGGTTTCTTGTGGCGACTCCTGCTGAGTGTTGCAGTTGCCAAGACCACTGGGACTGCTCGTGACTGCTCCTTGCCTTATCAATTCGATCCTGAACAACAAGTTCAATGGAGGCAGATGGTGGTAGTGGTGGCATGACCTCTACTACGTCTACCGACGGGCTGCAGAACAACCAGCTAGGCCTCATGCAAGCCGCTAGTCACTGCTAGTCCGAAGGTCCGAAGTTTGCCCCACACCCTGCCCCTCAACTAACATAACTTAACTAACTAGTAACTATACTATAATAATTTAATATAACATTATAATAATATAATAACTGTTAATAACTATAACTATAAATAACTATAATTATCTGAAACTCAACTAACGTAACTTAACTAAACAAAACTAACTAAAGCATCGTTCGTTTAGGGCAGTTTAGGTTTAGGACGAAATGAAATAAGGAGCCAGACGCTCATCTAGACGATGGTGGCGCGACCTCGGCTACCTCCTTCTGCCTCATGCCAGCCGGGCTGCCCATCAAACGGCTTCCTCACGCAGCCCTCCCGCAAGCCGCGGGACCCGCACCCTGGCCCTCAACGAACTAAACTAACTAGTAACACTAGTCACTAGTCGCATTTGTCATTAGTCACTAGTCACTAGTCACTAGTAACTAACTAACCGACTTTAACTAAATGTAACTAAACTAAACCCTCGTTCGATTAGGGTTCAGGACCGAACTCATAAGGCCTAAAGTCTAAAGTTCTAAATTCTAAAGTTACTAAAGAGTCCTAAAGCGAGTGGATGGATATGACGACATAATGACATAATTGATGTACTGATATAATGACGTGATGTTTAACAAATACTGGAGGTTGCAAAGAAGAGCAAGCCACTGCCGCCAGCTCTTCAGCTTCGTCGCAACCTGGCGATGGCCCCGCCGCCAGTGCCTCCGCCTCCGAAGTTGGAGAGAAAGCGGCACCTGTCGCCTCCACTTGACATGCGAGAAAGGCCAAAGCCTAAGACGATGACATTGCCGGCCCCCTGGAGTCCTCCACCGAAGAAGAACAAGCACATATGGTCGAAGGCCGGCAGCAAATACATCGTCAACAAGGCGAACGCCAAGAGGCCGAGGCCAAAGACAGCTGAGCATGCTGAGCCAGCTGAGCCTGCGCCTGAGCCGAAGCAGCACGTGTTTCTCGATGAGAAGAAAGATGATGACAAGAAACAAGGAACCCCGGCAACCTCGAGTACGGGAACTCCGTATCCAGCAGCGCGACAGATGGAGCTCATGGCAACGATGATGGAGACGATGAAGGGCATGCAGGAGGAGCTACGCGAGCTCAAAGAGCAAAGGACACCCAGCGTGGAGCGCCCCCGGAAGAAGGAGAAGTGAGAGAAGGTGAGTTTGGGCACCGATTGAGCTACAGTATGAGTACCTCCCCGAGCCCACCGGCTACCAACTCTAATAGTCTGGATCTTAGCCAAGAGGAAGCGCGACGCTTAGAGGGTTGTGCCCAGAGCGTAGTTCCAGGGCTGATGCAAGGGCTATTAAGAGACGATGGGCTCGGAGGGGACCGTCCGGTCCTGATGGAGGCGGGCTGTCGGCCTAACAGCCCACTTACCAAAGCGGTCCAGGCGATCGCCGGGACACCCCATGCGGCCACTCGATGTGCTCTTTGGAATTCGGGGGACTTGAGTACTTCGGAAGGGCTTCGGTTTGTGATGGATAGGATTCGGATGGAGAGGCCGCAGAACGTTTGGGTGAACCTGCCAGGACGGGCGTTTTCTCCAATGCAAACTATCAACCAACGTACTGAAGCCCAGAAGCAACAGCTTAGTGAGCAACGCAGAGAGACTATGAAGGTGTACGTAGGAGCTTGCTGTGTGTTTCATTTGTGTGTTCAACTCGGGGTGCACTGTACCCTTGGGCTTCCCGAACGTTCAGATGCTTGGCGACTCCCGTTGTTCCAGGGTCTTCAAAGGCGATACCAGTTAGGTGCGGCTGTTCAGAAAGGTTGCCAGGTTCAGCTTCGGGATTTCAAGGCGGAAAAGTTGTTGCAGTGGGGATGGAAGATTATGTCGAGTCATAAGAGGCTTGTGGAACAACTGGATCTTCCTTGTCGCTGTAACAAGAAGTATCAGCATGGACGCTGTGATGGAATTCGCAGCGACGGTGCTGTGGAGCACACGGAGACGTACGCCAAGAGAGCCGCTAAAATTCTGTGTCAGGAGTTTAGCTACAGTTCAGTGTTGCGGGAATGTGAAGGCGAGAGTAGCTTACCTGAAGGATTCGGAGGCGGTGAGGTTTGCACTTGCGGGGAAAGTAAGATCAGAGATTTTCATTTGACCTGTAACAACTGCATTCTAGGGCGCGAAGAACTAGGAGTTCCAGTAGCAGGTGATTGTGAGGACCCGAGGCCCCAGAAGGTAGGAGACCCCACGGCTAGTGAAACCATGAGCAACAAGGACCCCAGAGACATGGAGAACAGCATGTATGCGCAGGCGGACAAACAACATGTGGAAGAGTTAGCCATGAGCCTGTACAAAGAAAAGAAGTTTCAGCAACAAGACGCCCAACCCCTGTTGGAAGCCATGTCGCAGTTGAGAGCCGGTAGAAACAGAAACATTGTTCCGGGAAACCAGGCCTCATATCATGCCTTTGGACTCTACTCGTACGGCAACATGTACGGTGTGACCCGAAAGACCTGGGACCTTCCCCATGTGACTCGTTACATGAACCAGTGGCTCAAACATAACCTTCCCGAACAAGCCAAGTGGTCATCGTTTGTTCTGAGTGCCAACAACAAGATGCCCATCCACCGAGATAACCACAACGATCATGACTACGACAACTATATCCTAGGAGTAGGAAGCTACCAGGGAGGAGAGTTGTGGGTGGAAGCACCCCCGGGATACGAGGGGCGGGACGCCTGCCCTCAGGAAGCAATCGACGGCCAGAAGTTGCAGGGCCGCAAGCTTCCCACACGAGGGCAGTGCGTCGGTTTTTCACCGAAGGCGTGGCATGGGACGTGCGACTGGACAGGGAATAGATACACGGTGTCTGTGTATGTGAGCTGGGGATGTAAGGTGGTTGATGAGGAAGCGCGGGTTGAACTTCGGAAGCTTGGGTTTGGTTGTCCTAAATATCCACCGTCTGTGGTGGAACAGGGCTTGGTACTTCAGAGGCCAGGTCTGTGGAAAAGAACGTTCTCTAGCCAAGCCAAACAACATGACGACAGAATCAAGAAGCAACTGTATCTTCTGCACTCAGCTACGGGACATGAGAGCACACGACATCTGGTTGAGGCTTTGACGCGACGGGGAGCTTCGGAAAGGGTCTTGACGTTGGCCAAGGAATTCAGGTGTTCTATTTGCGAGGAGAAGCGACGAGTAGGAAACCGTCACCTGGCTACGTTAGAACCCCTGCCTCCCCTTTGGAGCACCATTTCTGCTGATGTAGGACACTGGACCCATCCTCAAACCCATGAGAAGATTCAGTTCATGTTGATTGTGGATGAGTGTAGCCGATTTCGTGCTGCTAGGATCCTTACCACAGGATTGAAACAACAACCCAACGCCATGACCTGTTTGAATTATCTTCAAGAGGACTGGATGCAGTACTTTGGGAAACCCCAGGTGCTTCGTTTGGATCCAGCTGGATCATTTAGAAGTCAGTACATTGAGGGTTTTTGCGATCGTCATAACATCTACTTGGACATCATTCCTGGAGAG